TAGATAATGGTAAGAACAATCTTGTTTTTTCAGGGAAAAGAAAGGAACAAAAATTGCCACCATCTAAAACAGAAAAAGAGCCACAGTCATGATGATGATGATATAAAAATAATAATATAATATAAAAGAAAAACTCTTCCATCAACATCTCTTATGAGTTATTACAACCTCCCTTTAAGTCCATTATTATCTGACAGCTAAGCTGAGGTTGACCTCTGATATATTCCAAACATTCAAATGCATATATCATAGAGTGGTATGAAAAAAATTGCATGTGGAAATAAGAAGCTCGCGATCTTACTAATATTGCAAAGTTAGTAGAATATGGATAAGATCCCATCTTTAGGTAATTGAATCATCTAACAAACTAACAGATACGACTACAATCTAAGTCCAATTTGATGTATTCATATGCTTAGCTAATGCTCGATCTTACAGAAAAAATACACCCTTTTATACAGTTTAAGACTATGTATGTAAAGCTATAAGGCCTTCAGTTATTTAACTTATTAATAGATCAAACAGATTCTGATTTTAATCAAGTACGGGACTGCTTAACTGGATAGTTCTAAAACGAAAAAACAGAAGCAACGAATTTCAACAATCAACAACAAAATATAGATCACACGCATACAGAGAAACACACTCAATAAGCGCGTCAACATCCATAAACGATGGTGAGCGACAGAACTCAGAATAAGGAGTAGAAACTAACGAGCATAAGAGTTCTGATCAAGTCTAAAAAGATCAACATAGTTAAATAGTTTTGTAAATGCGTTAATCGACACCACCGCACAAGAAATCCCTTACCAGCTATTTTTGTTGTCGATAAACTGGCGATTGTGATCAAAATAACGGCTGTTGCTAGAGAGAAGAAAATAGTAGATAGAGAAGGCCGAAAGAGAGGGTGAAGTGCATAGAAGAGCTGGCAAAGAAGAGGGAGTTTATGTATATGAAGAAAAAGCAGTGAATAATAATTGAAAGTTTCGGCTTCTCTCTGTCCCGAAGCTTTTTTAGGCTTTTAAGATTTGAGTGCAGAAATGTTGGTATATCTTTTTCAGACAGAGGGTATGTACGAATATGGAGCGTTAATGGCTCGCATAAACTGACTTGTATATCCTTCTAGTGAGAGAGAAAGACAGAGAGAGAGAGAGAGACGAATTATGAATATGAATTTATGATGAAGATGACGAGAAAGTTTGTTTTCTGGTTTAGGCACCGGCCATATTCGCTTTTCGTTGTAAACAATAATTATATCCAGAGCTCCATTTTCCTTTTCTCCATTTTCTGTTTTCATAACTGTTTCGTATACAGTTATATAGAAAAGAAATCATTCATCCTTTTTTTATCAGGGAGGGTTGCTTACCACTAAATGATTAGCTTTATAAAAAGAAAATGTCCCTGTTGATAGCTAAATAATAAAGTACACAAATAAAAGTCTCAATGTTTCACCTAAGTAAAAATGTATTGACTTGATTTACCGCTTTTCATAGAACTCGCAATCTTATTTTTCTTCGGTTTTCGATTTTCGGTTCGGTTACGGTTTAATTGGTTTGATAGAAAATGTGCCAAATACAAATCGATTAAGTTTCTGTTTGGTTTCGGTTTGGTATGGTTCGGTTCGGTTTAGAGTTCGGTTTACCAAAGTATTAAGGTTTGGATTGAAAAAAATAACTCAAATAATGAACCAAGAAGCGATAGTAATGAACCAAATATAATGTTAGATATAAATTTGCAAACGGTAACAAAACATATATGAACCAAAAATATATAAGCATGACACATTTGTAAGCAACAACAACTACGGGAATGAATCAAATTATATAGTTTATCCAAAAATGAATCAAATTATATATAAAGCTGAAACAAAAACAAAACTGGTGCTTGTAAGTAATGAACCAAATATATAGTAGTAGTAGATGATAAATTATAGTTAAATATTATCTACTTAAACCACTATAATTGTTATAGTTGTGAATGTAACTCTTGTAGTAAACTCTAGTCCTGAACACTAAAATTAAAGAATTAAAGCTTCAAAAAGATTAACATCAATCAAATTAATGAGAGAAATCTTATATTTTGGTTTGGTTTAGTTTGGTGTAAGTTGGTTTTGATTTGTTATTTTAAAAAAATAAGAAAATGTTTTATTTTTAAATTAGTTCGGTTTTATTCGGTTTTATGATTTCGGTTCTGTTTGGTTCGGTTTAATACGGGTTGGGAGGAATACTACCAAACTCAAACCAAATTACAAATGGTTCGGTTTCGGTTCGGTTTAATTCGGTTTGGTACGGTTCGGTTCGGTCAAACCGAACCGTTATGCCCACCCCTAATATCAACATAAATTGTCATGTGTGCGGGATGATCTCTATATAAGCTATAAAATAATAAAACATATATAAGATCCGAGTTACTCCTCCTATCAGGTTGACCTTTCAAAATGGAACATCTGGTCTTAACATGATATTAGAGTCAATTTTGGTTGTGGTTTGTCTGCTTGTTTAGCACACATGATTACGGGTAGCTTGTTAAGGGTCTGTTCGGTCCATTTATACACCCCAATATTGTCCAGCTCGGTTCAGGCTGAGGGGACGTGTTGAAGTATTTGTCTCACACCGGAAAGCTATAAAGAGGCCGTTTGGCAATGTTGTTTTTCGGTTTATCAGGCTTATCAGCCAACTTTTTCACCAAACACGTAATTTTTGCTTTCGAGCGCTGAATTGTGTAATAAGCAGAAAAAGTAAGGTTGAAGTTACTTTTCTGACTGTATTGATTGAAGTTACTGTAGATGATCATTTTAGCTTTTTTATACATAAAGTTTTCTTTATTTTATTAATAAAATATATTTTAAAATTATTTTTTTCTTAAATCAGCATAATCAACCAATGCAGCCACTTCAGTCAGAACTTCATAAATTTCAGCAGAATCAGCCAAATCAGCCCATTTTCGTGCTACCAAACGGGCTCAAAATAATAAAACACTATATAAGATCCGAGTTATTCCTCCTATTAGGTTGACCTTTTAGGATGGAACAACGAGTCTTAACAGACATCCAGTCATGTTTTTACTCATTGTGCTCACATTCAGACCAAGTTTCTTGGAGGAAAGAAAATTCATATTTTTCCTACCGATGTTAGGCATTTCCCTATTATATATGCACCAACTTGAGGGCATTGAGCTATTAAGCTAATACTTCCTTCGGTCCTTAATTAACTTTACACTTTCCTTTTTGAGTTGTCCCATATTAAACTTTACACTTCCTTATTTGCCTTATTTGGCAAACAAATTTACACTAAACAGTGCAAAACAGTGTCAAGCAGTGTCAAACAGTGTACTCTACAGTAAAGTCAAATTTATTTCTTTAATATGTGTGAAATCAAAGTGTAAAGTTTAATAAGGACCGGAGGGTCAAAGTGTAAAGTTCACATGTATGACTATAATCTGATTTTGTTTTATCAAGTTCCATTGAATGATTTTTTAATTCAATTAAACGTGACAGATAGATAGCTTATTTGACCCTTTAGCTAAGTAATCAAGGTATGGACTAGAATTGCATGAACAATTTATAAGATCATGCATTCATAGACTAAAGTGAGCAGCCAGCAAAGATGCCTTTACAGATTAGAGTGCATGTTTATTGCCCAAAAGCAAGCAAGCTAGGGCCCTGATCTCCAGGCAGACAACCACAACACAGCACCAACTTCAATAAAGGAAGAATAATCCACTTCCACTTGTGGTATGCATGCGGCCTACTATTACACAAGAGTACGTGGGGTTCGCGCAGTACACAGAGGATTAAGTCCACTAATCAAAGTGTGACACTGATATCTGATCCCAATAATACCAATTTGTTTGTTGCATTAATAAATAATAACATGACTATCAAATACTCACCCGTATATACAAATTCCAATTGAAACCGACTCGACATTGAATGGCGGATGAATGAGCAAATTTACTTTTTGTACACACCTTATACACATGTGCCGCATTCTCACTCCTTCCAAAACTCCCACCTTCACCCCACAATCCCCACATACACCAAAATAGCGAAGAAGGGAGTCAAGGAACTGTGGGTTGGAGGCGAGAGTTTTGATTTTAGAGAGGAGGGGGAGTATGGGTTGTGCCACACATGTATGTTCAAGTGAGGGGAAAGGGGGTAATTTTTTTTGAATATATATTGTGTATATATTTCCATCATTTGAAATGGAGCCAAAGACACTATTTTTTTGGTTTCAGAATATGATGGAATAAAGCAAAAGGCTCATTAAAGTGTCTTAGTTTTTTTTGTTATGAAGCCATGGTCAGTTTACGCAATTTTCGACGTGATTTTCATCATGAGTCATCAAGAAATAGTCTCTCCGTGCTTTAGTACAAGTGTAAGGTTACGTACATCTAACCTCCCCATTACCCACCGTAGGTGAGCCTTTGCAGCACAGAGGTAATGATGAATGATATGGATGTTATATTGTGTGTATATGTGGATATAAGAGTGTATAAAGAGCAAATTTGAAAAGTGAAATGCAACCTCGCTTGTAACGTTAGTACTTCCCTTTTTTGAAAAATTAAATCAGCAACATTATCCTGTACATATAAAATTTATTCAATCCAATTTATTAAATTTAATTGACCTAATTCGCTTAATAATGCAAACCCTATTAATGAATTTATGAATAATGGACGAGAATAATCCCAGCTATTAGTGTCCCATTTGAAATAATCCCAACTATTGAAAAATATTGTCAAAATACGATGGTGAATTATAATTATCCGTAAATAACTCATAAATTTATGAGTCACCGGAGTATTTTGAGAAGATTTTTCAATAGTTGGGATTATTTTGAGATAATTGATATTTTGAATTATTTCAAACAGATCACTAATAGTTGAGATTATTCTTGTCCAGTTTTTCATGAATTTAACCAATGGAAGCATTATCTTGATGGAAAAGAATATAAAGGAAGTTATTATCATAGTACTTTTAATTTCGACAAAGATGACACAAGGAAACTAAAAGAACTCATTATAAAAAAGTCTTGATTTACATTTCTTAGTACTACTTACACACAGAAAGGAAGAAGATAAATACAAAAACCCATTGCCTTATTTCTTAGTAGTTAGTAGTAATGGTAGTGTAGACTGTAGACGATGCATTTGTTCTAGTCATTAATAAATATAGAAAACAGAGCAAAACTGTGGACAACAAATCATACATTTCAAGAAAGAACTATTTGCTAACCGTCAAGAAATTGCTTCTACATCATATTTTGCCTTTCTTTTTAACCAACTTAGGTCGTTGGTTCATAGGCCGCAAATACATAGTCTGAAATGTAACCATAGTCCTTAAAGCCTCAAGCAGTTTTGCTTCAATATCATCTCCATTTGGATCAAGAACCTGTAAGCATCGAGCTACTGCCTCCAATGTACTCATACACCCACTAAATGGTTCCTTTCTGAGAATTAAATCAGAATCGAAAATAGATCCACCATCTATGCTAGTATTGTAACTCAAGTGAACTTGGATTGCAAATTTTGAAAAAAAATCTAAGCTAGAACGAATCATCTCCTTAGCATGCTTCCAAGTCCCATCAATAGCTATCAAGACATAATCGATTCCGTAAAAAAAATTAGATGATGATTTCCACTGCTTGATCTCCAACGACTCTGATGCTTCTGTGCCTAAAACATTAGGTTTTTCCCCAGATTCTTAATTGTTAGTTTGTGATGAAAACAGAAGTTTTCATTGTCATTGCACAGATAAACTGTGGATTACTCCGTACTAAATAATATCAATTGCATCGCTCTAAAAGGGCTACTTAATATGAAACACACACAACCCGGTTCACAGGTGACCTCTGCATATGAAGTGTAAAAGTGTTACGTGTAAATTAACAGATCCCTTGCAAAGTGGTAATAAACTTCTCAAACACCACTCTTAGCAATTTTTTTTACACAAAAAGCATATTTTTTGACACAAAAAATGAATTTGTAACATAAAATTTCTTCTTGATTCAGTTGAAAACAAATTGCACCCATTTTTATATATAATGGTGTACTTTCCATTCATTGATGAATACCACCTTACTCCAAGTGAATATCTTTTCGTCAATGTATTACATTTTGTTTGAACAACCGAAGTTGCATAGATAACTCATAAATACAGAATTCTCTTCGTGTACACGCCCGGTTACACGCGGGCTTACATGTTCAAGGGTAATTGTCGGTGTACAAACCATTACACTTGGTTTTAGTAAAGGGACGTCTCTATGACTCCAAAAACTGAGTTGTCTGTACCCGACAATTTGGGATCACAGGCGTGTACACTAAGCAAATTCCTATAAAAAGCTGACAATTAGTAATTTAGTAATTAAAATGTTGCCTGATGAGCTACGGTTCACTGTTAAAATTTGCGTACCAGGAAAGAGGAAAACAGCTCTTCGGGGCATATTAGGGTTTGCAATTGCATCGTCATAGAGATTATCAAGGACCTCCGAAACCCCATATCGCAATCTCCGTCCGACAATGACCTCGCAATTCGCGATACACTTGGACAGTAGAGGAACGGTGGCGAGCTTGTGGCGGCGTTCGTGAGGGTGCTGGAGGACCAAAACTCGGGTCCGGGTCGCAATCGGGTCGGATGGAATTGACGCACATAAGCAAACGTTTGCCGGCCTGTCGCATTTTGTGCATTCATTTCGCCTTGTTTGGAACTTGCCGACGGCCGCGACTGCTGGAACGTCTTTGTCTGAGAGAGAATTCCCGGGAGACATTATACAAATTTGGAATCTTGCCGAAGGCGGAACCAATTATCCACTCCGTAATGGCTGTTTCTGCTCGTGTTTCATAGTCATAATTTATACTACCTCCGTCCCTTAAAACTTTGTCAAGTTTGACCGGCACGGGGATTAATAAAGTAAAAACTGTGTGGTTGAGGTTTGTGCAGAGGAGAGAGAATTAACTCGAACCACAAATTCTTTACTTAAAAGGGAAAGTGGTAAAGTTAGTGGGACATCCAAAAAAGGAAAGTTGGCAAAGTGTTAAGAGACGGAGAGAGTATGAGTTAATCCTGTACTTCCCAAATTCCCCACTTTAGAGCTGTCTTACTCTATAGAGTTTGTTTTACACTCTCTATAGAGTTGTTTTATACTCTATGGGCTTGCATGAATTTTTTGTAAAGTGTACACTCACCATATTTTACTAATTTGGAGACGGTTCTAAGTGTAAAATTAAGGGGAATTCGATTTTGCACCCCACTGATGGAGTATATGGGTCTGAGCCCCAGGACCCACATACTCAGAAGAACAGAAAGCATAACACTGAGTGGTGCCCTCGTCGGCCATGAGACCCCCGTCGGCCGGAGATGTACCAACTCAGAATATGGTCCTGAATCCAAGGAACCCGGGTGCCCCCGTCGGCCGCGCCTTCGTCGGCCGTGCCCTCGTCGGCCACGCCCTCGTCGGCCACGAAGACCTCACAGAACCGGATTTCACACTTACTCATTTGTACAGCCTATTAGTGGCTTTGTATTCGGCCCAGTAGCGGTCCAGTTGTAGATGGGCCTCCCAAGCCCAAGGCTTGGGAGCCCAGCCCGTATTTTTCTTATAAATACTTCATCTGGAGGTAGTTATCAGGGTTAAAAAATCATTCTATTGAAGCATATTATTGCAATTCTCTCTCTAGCTCTCACTTCTCTCTAGATATACTCTATCATCCACTTTTGGGTGTCGGTGATATTGAACTTTGCTGCTCATTTTGAAAAAACTTTGATTTTGCACACCAACACATAACATTTTGTGAATAAAAAAATCTCATTGGGGTGCAAAGTCAAACGATTTTTAAGTTAATTAAGTGAAATAGGGTGCAAAATCAAAGTTTTTTTGAAATGAGGTGCAAAGTCCAATATCACCCAAAAAGTGGGATGCAAAGTCAAATTCCCCCCTAAAATTAAGGTCACATTTGGTTTTAGTTATAATAATAAATTAATAATATTGTAATATTATTATAGTACATGTAATATAATTATATTATGAGCAATGATTCAATTACAAGGCGCGGTCTAATTAGGTGTATCATACGGCCAAGCTCGTTCGTCACGTTTTCGTGTAGAATATTTTGATGAATTTTTGTAAAATGGAAATGGAAATATAAAAATAGAAAAATGTCAAAACTAGAGATATATAATTGAAAATTATGAAAATAAAAACTCAAAAATAAAAAAATACAAAAAAAAAATAAAATGTAAAAATATTAAAATGAAATGTAAAAACTTTTTAAAGTGTAGAATATATAAAGAAATCCAAAATCACAAAAAATGTTGATATTCTTAAATTTTTACTGTTGTTTTTCTTTATTCTTGGTTTAAAAAATGTTTGATTTTTTTTCAAACTAACCCTGCTATAACAAGTAAGAAAACGATAAAATGACTAGAATGATCGGTTTTCCAAGTAATTGAACTTATATGATACTCCGTACTTTTTAAAATATATGAGCTTAACCGATGGATTATAAATAATACTTCGTACTACGTATAATGGTCTGGACCTTTTTTCATAAAATTAAATCTTCTACCCATGTATCGAAGTTTTACAAAATCTAAGTAAAGTACTACGTATCAGATTCATTTATGGCCACTATTGTTCAAAAAAGTTAAAGATAGTAATGTAGTTTTATAGGATGAAGAGAGTATATTTTTATGCATATAATTTGTGTTTATTATACGAAAAGTATCTTTAACTCTACATGCCACATAGGACTACTGAGTCCCTAAAAAGCAAAAATAGGACTACTACTTTTTAAATTCCCCAAATAGGATTAAATGTTGATTTTCTAACCTAAATACCGGGTATTAATTCATTATGAAATGTTTTAACTCATGATAAAATAATAAAAAATCTATAAAAAAGAATAAATGGTAAAAAAAAATTATTAAATAAAAAATTTTAATTTTTTTTTTTGAAATTCTTTTTTAAAAAATAAAAAATAGTAAAAACCCTTAAAAAATGAAAAAATGTGGATACCTTTCCCACCGCCTCCCAGCACCATCACCTCCGATCGGTGAAAATTCTGACACTTTTTGTAAAAAATGCCATTTTTTTAAATGCCAAGAAGATGACATTTTTACTCTTCATTATGCCAAAATTTTCATTGAATCTACCATCATTATGACATTACTAAAAATGTTGGCATATTTCCTTCAGTAACGGGAGCTAGTGGTGCTGGGGGGTGGCAGAGGCGGCGGTGTTTTTTTTTTGTTTTTAGTATTTTTTATAAAAAAAATTAATTTTTTTTAATTTTTTTTCTTTTTTATTATTTTTTTACGATTTTTTATTATTTTTTGCGATTTTTTTATTTTTTATGATTTTATTATTAAGTAGAACATTTCAAAAGTTACAAGAGTATATTTGTCCAAAAAACACATATATAGTCATATTGGAAGATTTAAATATTGTAGTCCTATTTGTGCAATTTTGTCACTTTTTAGTCCTATTTAGGAATTGACTATTAAGTAAATTAACACCTTCCTTTTTGGATATCATGCAATAATACTCGTATGATCTATTATTTGAATAATAATCCTCCTATATATGATCAAAAGTGCATCATTATTAATTTTCTCTATCATGTTTTTGATGAAGGGAATAATTGGAAAATCAATTAAATATTCCTTCCATCCCAATTTAACACGAAAATTTGGAATTAATAAAGATTAAAAATTATATAAGTACTGCTTTAATAATTTGCTCTTTCTCCCATAAAATAGAGTCATTTAGGTAAATGAAAATGTGACAAAAGTAAAGGTAAGTTTATCAATTTATTCATTTTTATTCCTAAAATAGAAAGTGGAAAATCATTTTAGAATAATCAAAATAGATAATTTTGAAAATCAAATTGGAATGCAGAGACATTTATTTTTTCTAAAAACATGTGATATCAAACTAAGAACTTAATTATGAGATGGAAGAAGTATATACAAGATGGATACTACCTCCACCAGTATATAAATACAAGTGTATAAATACTACCTCAAACTAAGAACTTAACAGTTTTTATTACTACCTTTTATAGAACTTAATTAAACTGTTTTAGGGAATTTAACAAAAAAATACACTAAATGAGTAAAACAGTGTGATTTTATAAAGTGAAATTTTTTGAAATAGGAGTACACACGTTTGAGAATTCAAACATATGATTGTTATGTTTTTATTCCCTAAACAAATATGAGTAATTATAGTCAAGTTGTGAAAATATTGTCATTTTAAAGTCTGGTATTATCAAAACATGATTGTCTCATTTAAGACAATTTTCCTTTTATACGTAATATAGTAGTACTACATTTTTCACATAGATACAAGTATCTAATCATTACCATGCTTGAAAAATATTACATAAGTGTCACTTGATTATAAGTGATAATGTCAAATTATGACATAGACAAAACAAGACAAATATTTCTTAAATAAGAGTACTAAAACATAAACACCACATTGTACAGATAAGATCATTATTTTTTATTTCTAAAATAGAACTAATTAATTCTTAATTGGGAAGATTGTACTTTTAATATGATCAATTAAATAAATCCTATTTTGTGAATAAAACATAAGTAGTCTTATTTCTATATTTTATATACTCCTGTTCTAGTCCTTTAATTTCTATAGCAATTATATTCTTTTTTTTTTTTTGCATATAATAAGCCTACGTAAATTCTATAATGAGAATATAACATGCTGTCAGGGCCGGCCATAGGGGGAGTTACCCTAGACAAGTGTCTAGGGCCTCCAAATTTTAGAAACCTCTAATTTATAAAATAAGCTTATTGATATTATTTAGGAGACTTTGTCTGGCCGTCAACATTTGGGATAGTTTCCTTTGTAATTTTTTGATGATTTTTTTTAGAATTTTATTCATTATGTCTAGTTTACTCATACCAAATTTCACCTAAAAATTCAATCGGGAAGACATTCAAATGAATTCTTGAAGATAACTGCGCAGTTAAAAGCGCAGTTATCTTCAAGAATTTATTTGAATGCCTTCCCCATTGAATTGTTATCTGAAATTTGGTATGAGTAAACAAGACTTAATGAATAAGATTCTCAAAAAACTTCATCAAAACATTCCACCGGGAGCTGCCCCAAATGACGACGGCCAGACAAAGTCTCTTATACAAGGGCTTATTTGATCTTTTTGGTTAGTATGTGTGCTTATTTGCCCCTTTTTCCTTTTTTTCTTTGTTGGCCAGGGCAGTAGGGCTAGGGATTTAGGATAATGAGTATTCTAAATATATTTGAATGCTTATTGAATAATTGAAATTGTAATTTGTTATTTTGATTCATCGAAATATTGAACATACTTATAATTTTTACATTTGATTAAATTTAGTGAATTAAATTTATATCTATGAACCATTAACTTATATTTAGTGATAGTATTATTTTGAATGAAATTTTATGTTTTGTGATGATTGGAAAACAAAATATGAATCAAGATGTACAAAGACAAAGAAAAAAATTAAGAAATGATTTGGTCATGAAATCACTTTCCGGCTCTATCGATCGGTATGTTGTACGTAAGCACAAAACCTTCTCCCTCTAGGGCTCTTTGTATTTTTTCATCAACTTTGATCTTCTGATTTCGAAGAATATTCTCACTGTGTTAATAGTATACGCTGTATTTTATATGTAATTTACTTATATTTAATTGCTATTTTTTATATCATTGGGTTAAATAAAACATATTTAAAACAAAATTTCTACATGACCATCTAGGGCCTCATAATTGCTCTAGCCGGCCCTGCATGCTGTACTTGATTCTGGTAGTA